GAAAACCTGAGGGATTTCATTCCTTCTATCTCCCTCTCTCTCTCTCTCTCTCTCTCTCTCTCTCTCTCTCTCTTTCTCTCTCTTTTTTCCTTTTTATTTTTTTCTTTCTATCCATCCATCCATCTTCTTTTTTCTTTATTCTCCGCTAGCAAAATCGCTTTTCGATAACATGAGAAAACTCGTACATGTTAGAAACACATAGATACACATATTACATATATATATACTCAGAGGTATGTAATTTTGTTGTACATAATATTGGGCTATCCGAAAAGTTCGTGTCGATTTTTATATATGTATATATATATTTCTAAATTGGCATAAACTTTTGGAGATACTGGATTACACGCCTATACAAATACACACGCGTACATAGTTTTTTTTTTTTCTAGCGTACTGTTTTCGATTCTCTTGCAATTCCACCGATATTCGTAAAGGAAGAAAGTAGTAACTTTCTAAGCGGTTAACTCTCTCTAACGAGCATATTTCCCTCTCTCTCTCTCTCTCTTTTTGTTGCTTGCACAAGTACAAAATTTCATTGGTGATTCCAATTTTCGAATCACTTTTCTATTTATTTTATATTTCTATTTTGATTATATTATTAACAACGCTTTGTTCGAGCATTTATTTGTTTCATAGATTTCAATTCTCCTTTCTCTCTCTCTTTTTATTTTTCTTTCTTTTTATTTAGCACAGATTCTGAACCGCCATTTTGTTATCTGTTTTTTGTCTGTTTCTTATATTTAAAAAGAAAAAAAAGAAAAAGGAAAAAAATGGAAAAAAAGCAACAACCCTTTCTCGACAAGCAAGTCGAATTTAAGTTCGTTCGAATTGTCTCGTCCTATTGTTTCATTTTCTTCTCTCCTATCTCTATTACTATTTTCATTTGTTTCTCTGTTTCTGTTTCTGTTTCTGTTCGTAGTTTATATTCTAAAGGAAAGCAAGCAGTCAACAAAGTCGGTTATAGTGTGGTATAAGATCTTTATGGAACGAGCAGTAACGTAAGAGAAATCCGCGAGTAGAAAACCTTAGGAGAGTGTCATTCGCGAAGAGAAAGAGAACGAACCATCGAGAAAGCGTATCGATCGAATACGATGTTTACGGATTGATCGATCTGTCGAACGATTGATCGTATGTTCGATCGATCGATCGAATTCCCATCGAAAATTATCACCTTTCTTTTTCAGAAAAAAAAAAAAAAAAAACATGAAATTTCTCCGATCAAAAATTTGGACGCTTGTCCGATAAATTCTTATGTTAATAATTCCTTTTTCTTTTCTTTTTTTTTTCACAAAGCGTATATTTACATAAATTATAATATATTATAATATAATATTATATTTTAGTTTGACTATATTTATACTATATTTATCAAAACATATGTTGAATATTAATTTAAATACGAAAAGAGAGAGAGAGAGAGAGAGAAAGATAGATAGCAAATAGTTGATATGTTCCGTGTCCGGTCTCACTCCGTTTCTTCTCGAGTCTCGTTACATCCGGTTTTCTCTTCGTTCTCTCCTCGTAGTCGTCGTCGTCGTCGTCGTTGCTTTAATTGTAAGTTCTTTCCTTCTTTCACTTAATTGTTTTCCTTGAATCTTTCCTTTATACGCCGCATTAATGTTAGATCGAACGAGAACGCCAATATTTTTTTTTTTTTTTTTTTTTCTTTCTTTCATGGCTCAACGATCTTTTACGATTTATTATATATACACACACACACACACACATTTCATATTTGATTTTATTTTCCTTGATTTTTTTGTTTTACGAGATCTTTCTCTTTCATTACAATTTCTTGATTCCCCACCACCCCCAGCCCTTTATCATCTGCGACCATAAGTAATACTACTACTACTACTACTAATTCGTTCGTTGTGTTCTTCTTCTCTATCGTAATAGACCTTGAATAGAAGTGGAAAAAAAGAAATAAAATAAATTAAAAAAAAAAAAAAAAGAAAAGAAATACAAACAAATAGAATATAACGACGAAACAACGATCGAACACAACGTACGTGTAGAACGATCGAGATATCGATTACTTTTTAAAAACGATAGCATTATCTATCAGTCCTTCTATATAACTTCTTCCAACCACGTAGTAGCGATTACGACCAGCTACATAAAAGGATGGAAAAAACAAAATACCTTTTTACATTGATATAAATCTATACATAACACACACCACACACATATATATATATATATAGATGGATGAAAGAACAGTAATCGATTGATCATCATTTCTTTCTCGTTATCACGCATTATCAGGCTGCCTTTGAGCATCATCTGTGTCATGAGTAACCCAATTTCAAGTATCAATGTGTGCTTATGTGTGTGTGTGTGTGTATGTGTCTTTCTATAGAGATCACACAATTCCCTTACACATTTATGTATTTATATATATATTTATGATACAGGGTATATTATTCTCATTGGAACCTGTGAAGGATTATAAAATAAAGATGGGGGATGTAAATATGTAAAACATATCTTTTTTCTTTCTTTTTTTCTTTTTCTTGTTATTCGATCGATTGATTTGAATTTTTGAAATGATTATGGAAATGAAAAATATATGAAATTAATATTATAATATAAGATAATGAAATATATGAGTAAAGGCGTGTGTTGATCGGTTCGTTTGGTAAAAAATATTATTAATCGGTCAGGAAATCGAATCTTTTCTTCGCAGCACCACAATATATATATATATATATATAGTCATATTTCTTAAACGATCTTAATCAATTATCGTTGATTATCATCCACCTGATTTCGTTGTACGCGAGAGTGGCTTAAAAACAAGTCGAAGGCTAAAAATTATTGAGAAAATACGATTCGTTCAGTGTCAAAATAAAACAAACAAGAAATAAGGGCTTATATTTCGATCGGTATTTTGGAAATATTTTTCTTTTCAAAAAAAATAATCATTAAATATATATTTATATATATATATATATATATATATATATATATATATATATTATATTGTACCTATTCCTTCACCAATGTTAAGAATATTCTCATACGAAATACCGAGAGAGAGAGTGAGAGAGAGAGAGAGACAGTTCAGGTAAACACCTGCCTTGTCTCTACCGTACTTGCTCCTTTCGTTCGCAGGTAGTACACATTGGCATTGTGCACCTGGTGCTTCTCTCGTTTTCCCTTCTACGAATATACCTGCTATTTTAGTCGAAAACTTTTAACGACTAACTCTTAAAGTTCACCCTTTTTCTTCTTTTTCTATTCGATCAACCCTTAGAAAATATTCTTCTACCCCTCTTCCTTCTATTTCTACAATTTTTTTTTCTTCTTTTTTTTTCCTCATTGCCCCTGCTGTTCATTTGTTCAACATTATTTTATGTTTCAAATCTATCATACACAAATATTTCATGTGATATTTCTTTTTGTAAGGGGATTTGTAAAGGAAAATGATTTAATTAACAAAAATAAATTACTTTCGATATTCAAGAACTATTTTTAAATAGTAATGAAATAAAGCGTACAAAAATAATTTCAATATATTGAAATAAATTGAATGGACAAGAACAAACTTGTGTGTTTGTTCATTGTTTTACAAAACTACTTTCAACTTTGACTTTTGAAATTTGTAATATATTATAGTACAAATTACAAACCATGAGCCTTGATAGAATGATAGAAATAAATAAAGAAAAAGAAAAAGAAAAAGAAGAGGAAGAAGAAGAGCTTAAAGTTTCTACGTTATCGGTGCACGTCTAAGCAACTGATAAAAGTCCGTGTTCCTACGGACAGATAACGGTCGGAATGGCCCGTATAAAGAGTCAGATAGATAGAGGTAGATAAAGCAGCACACGGTCCAACGGAACAGGTGAATGTCGTGTGGGGGACAGACGACAGACCAACGCCCGAACTCTTCCTTTTTCTCTTTCGATTCGTTATTTTCGCGCAAAGTTGGACCCGTCCTCGTTCATCGACATTTTCTTTCTCTCTCTCTTCTCTCTCTCTCTCTCTCTCTCTCTCTCTCACACACACACACACACACTGACACCCGCACGCATGCACACGCGTTCTCACTTTTTACCTGTCATTTCTACAAAGGAGACACCCGAGAGAATACTTTTAGTTATTTTATACTTTCTTTTTTTTTTGTCTATCTTACTACTATTTTCAAGCCCTGACTAACTCTTACCACCCACCCACCAACACCACCACCACCCCCACCCCCTTCATTTCTCTATCTCTTTCTATTCTTTTCATTTAGTGTTTATCATCGTGTAAATCATTTTTTTTTGTTTTCGATTAATCCGTTTTGGAAAAAAGAAGACGATTTTTTTAAATTTATTTATTCGGAAATAATAGAAAAAGAGCCAAGGAAAAGGTACCAAAGAAGAACAAGAAAATAATAGAAGGAATATATTCATGGATACAGATCATTATTGGGGCGTACATTACAGGTACGAAAAAGACCGAGTAATATGGATCGATCATCTTCATCTCTCTCTCTCTCTCTCTCTCTCTCTCTTTTTTGAATGGATAGTTACAAATGGTTCTCTCTTTTCTTTCTTTCCTTCTTTTTTCTTTTTCTTCAGTAACGTCCAATGCTATAGTATCGGAAAAATCATTGATCGAAGACCATAATTTTTGAGACGGAAGTAAGGAAAAGAGAGAATGTCAAATGGAAGTAATTTCATTTCTTTCTTTCTTTTTTTGGTTATGTTGTTGTTGTTGTTGTTGTATCTCGTTTCATTAAAAATTCAAATGTGGCGCGCGCAGAAACAACGCCGACTACGACGAACCAATAAAATGATGTGCTTTTATTACAAGTGTATTTAAATTTTCCCGCGCGTAAAATGATATTTAACAAAAGTGTCGAAAATATTGATTAATCTGATAAATTAAAAATTGAAAATAATTGTGTATCGGGTTTGAAACAATTTGAATCGAAGGAAAACAATGAAATTAATGAAATATTTGTAAAAGAAAAATATATCTGCAGATTTGTGTTTATTTGTTTGTAGCGGCGGAATGGCTGGGCAGCACTACTGCCTACGTTGGAACAACTACCAGTCCAACATGACATCCGTTTTCCATCAACTCCTGCAAAACGAGGCTTTCGTAGACGTCACCCTGGCATGCAACGAAGCTTCCTTGAAGGCACACAAGGTAACAATATTAAAGAATAACTTATTTTCATGTATGTATATTTTAATAAAATTCAATTCATTGAATTTTTGTCTCTATTATATTTTGCACAGGTTGTCCTATCGGCGTGCAGTTCCTACTTTCAAAAACTTTTACTCTCAAATCCATGTAAACATCCAACTATCATCATGCCACAGGACGTATGCTTCAGCGATCTCAAATTCATCATAGAATTTGTCTACAGAGGAGAGATCGATGTATCTCAAGCAGAACTACAGGTTAGTGGGGAAAAAAAAACAAATAAAAAATAATAACAACATATGACAAAAGAAAAATTCAATAAAAATCGAATCTGACATGATGAATGATATCTAGATGGATATAATATACACATTTATATATACGATAAGAATGAACGATAATATCGATGACGAAGATCCCAAAATTCTCGCATTATTATCTTATCTCTTCTTCTTGTTCTTATTTCACTTTTTTTCATATTCTCCCTTTTGTTTAAAATCGTTTCTTTCATGAGAGATTCATGAGTAAAATCTCGTAACACCGTAAGATATCTTCGTTCTTACATGCGCGTGAATAATGCAGATCTTATTTTTTTTTTTTTTTCATTCTTCTCGTACTACTAACATGTAAATTTATTGAAAATTGTTGTTGTTTCTCGTTAATTTTTATTCCTTTGTTCTTTAACTAAACAATTTACAGATCTAAGCGTCTGTATATAAGATTATCGTTCTTACTTTTTACATGTATAAACTTATTATTTCGTATAATTGTTTCCTACTCTGAGAAATTCCACGAGAGGGTTAGGCTTCGCGTCACCGTACAATATCCCCACTACAATTACGAGGTTCTAGAAGCGCGGTAATTTTGATTTCACGTTTTACCGTACGGATTCGACATTTTGTACCATGATAAATCAAAAATTTATCTCTTTCTCTTTCTCTTTTTCTCTTTTCGTTCCACCTCTCAACTATTCTCTTTCTCTTTCTTTCCCTATCTCTATCTCTCATCTATTCTTTTTTATTTTCTTATTTCTTGTGCTTAAGAATACGCACAAGTGCGCGTGCGCTAACAGCGACCCTTTTATCGGTGTACGTTGCTGTTGCTGCTGCTGCTGCTGGTAGTTCTACTTCTACTTCACTTCTTCTTCTTCCCTCCTTCTCCCTCTCCTTCTCCTTCTCCTCATCTTCTTCTTCTTATTCTTCTACTTCTTCTTCCATTTTGCTTCCACCAACGTCTATTTATCTACCCAGCGTCCGCCCATCGACCGCCTTCCGCTTAAGACGTACTATCTCTTTCTCTCTCTTTCTCTCTCTCTCTCCCTCTTTTTTTTCTTTCTATTTCTCTGTAAGACCTGTACTATCTCTCCTTTTCTCTCTCTTTCTCTCTTTTTCTCTTTGAAATGTTCTATCTTTATCTTTCTTTCTCTCTCTCTCTCTTTCTCTGTAAGACCTGTACTATCTCTCCTTTTCTCTCTCTTTCTCTCTTTTTCTCTTTGAAATGTTCTATCTTTATCTTTCTTTCTCTCTCTCTCTCTCTCTCTTTTGCTCTCTCACTGAAACTTACTATTCTTATCTTTCTCTCTCCCTCTCTCTTTACAAGCCACTATCTTATATATATATATATATATATATATATCTTTTTCTTTTTTCCTTATTTTTCATTCTCTTTCTCCTTCTCTCTCTTCCATTCTTTATCTCTTTTTGCTTTCTCTTTTCCTTTATCTCTCTACTTTGGAACATTCGTTTCGTTACGTTATTTCTCGTACGTTGTTATAACTGAACTATAAAATAAATACACGATGATGAGTTCTTTTTACAATTTATTTAATTTATTTTATTTGTTGTCTACACAACGTATCTCTAAAAGATCAGATAAATGTTTCAAGAAAAAGATAGGACAAATAGATGGATGATAGAAAAGCGGCGCGAAGATAAAAGAAACTCTCGAATCAATGATGTTACAATTGTAATTCTTAATTATATTTCTCTAGTCATATTGCTAATTTCTTTTCCTTGTATTAAGCTCAAAATTTGTTCTGTATTTCGAAAGTCTGATCAAACCCATGTAAGTTTTACCAACGAGAAAATTTGCAAGTTCGGTGTAACCTTTTTACCGACAGTGCATGGTAGGATTCTTCGGAAAATAAGATGAGACTCTTCCTTTCCATTTTTCAGTGAAACTAAGGACAACAAATGTGAGCAGTATTTATCCATTTAAATGTTTTATCCCGAAAATATTTAGGATTGACCAACCGCGAAAATTACCGATAACTTATCGACGTACTACCGACCAAGAAGTGGGCCATCTTGGTAAGGTCGATAAAGTCGGTAAAAACATTACAAATATTATCTCGAAGATGGCGCCACACGGATTCAAAACAAAAGCATTGATCTCTGAATTACCGACAGAGTCGATTAGCCGGTGTGTACGTTCTCTAACTCTCCTTCTCCCACYTTCTTTCTTTCTCATACGCGCGAGTTTCCCTTGCACTTTATACCGTTCCGTAAATAGCTGAAGAAAGGAACGTTCTCTCCCGGCCGAAGATAACGACGCGCACGTCCTACGAAAATGCCCGTGACAACGTTCACGGTATTTGTGAGTACCGGCATTTTCTTTTCGATTAAAAACGTTGTCAGCGCATAGTTGCAATTAATTGCCGTCATTGTATTATCTAGTTTTCATTTTACCTCGTTGGTGTTGACAAAAAAATCCAACAAGAATATAACAAAAAACGAAGTACAAAAATTACATACATACACACACACACAACCAACAACAACAACATCATATACACGCTTTCTCTCAAATAGAAAGACACTCATCACCACACAACAAAAAACAACAGATATAAATGTGTACAAAGGAAAATTTGTCCCGAGTTGTCGTCGTCGTCGTCGTCGTCGCAAATTGAGGGTGCAACGTGCATTCGTGTTCGCGTGCATGCGTGCGTGCGTGCGTCCGTCTGTGCGTGCTTGTGTATCACGTCGCGTCGTGCTTTGTGTGTGAAAGTAGTAGTGGTGGTGGTATGGTGGGTACGGGGGAGCGCGCGCGCGCGCGCTCGCTCGTCGCCGCCACCGCGCACACGTACTAACACGCACACATACATACACACATGAACGTAAAATAATTACACGTATAAACTAACACGCACGCGTAAAGTACATTTTCGTACGTCGAGATGTATAAACGACGAGGTGTATGTAATGAACAAAAAATTGTGCGTGTCGCGTGTGCGCGTAGAGTAACTAATACATCGTCGTCGCTATCAATATTACTACTACTACTTCGAGTAAAGTGATATGTGTGTGTATATATATTATATATATATACACAAAACTCTCTTTCTATCATCCATCTCTCTCGCTTTTCCTGTCTCACTTACGATGGGTCAGAGAGGTTAGGTTCCTGTGCTCGACGAAGAGTAGTTAAAAGCACGGGGACAGGTGCCGGCGACGTTCGATTGTCTTCTTCTTCTTCTACTACCATTCACCATCAGTACTACTACTACTACTACATTACTACTACTTCTTACTCTTCTACGTTTAAATATCGAGGTAATGTAAAAGTCGACACGGTAGTTTGTACCGAGTAACACGACTTTCTCACTCGCTCACTCTCTCTGTTTAGCTTAGAACGCCTTTCTCATTTTCTTTTCTACCAATACATCTATATTACTCCAGATACACACACACACAAAATATATTATGGCGTATGGATTTCAACTGGCAATGTAAAGCAGCAACGTGACGCTCTCTATGCTTTCCTTTCTCTCTTTTTTTTTTTCTTTTCTGATTTTTATCTGTATCTCTATTTTATGCCTTTCTCTCTCTCTCTTCATATGCATGGCATATATATATATATATATATGTTGTGTGTGTGTATATATATATATATATATAAATGTATATCTATCTCTTGTTCTCTTTAGCTTTTTGTGCTTCTGCTTTCTCTTTCTCTGTTTACATTTTGCCCAGGAGACTCTTTTTCTCTTTCTCTTTTTATCTTGATGTTTCTCCTCTCTGTTTTTCTTTCATTCTTTCTTTCATTCTTTCTTTCATTCTTTTTCTATCTCTCTTTTTCTTGTTGTCTCATTCACGCAAGTACGACTGAACCACGCGGAGAAAAGGTTCGTCGTAACGCTTCCCGGCTTAAGGATGCCACGTGGCTTTGCTCCTTCCCTTACCACTTCTCTTTCTTTTCTTACTTCCTTTTTCTTTCTCTTTCTAGTATACTTATATTTCTTGAGATCATTGAACGAACAAACCAACTTTTACAATACAATTTCATCAGAATTTGGACAAGAAATTTGATTTATTATTTCGTATGTTTATGTATTTCGATTAGAATAATTCGTTTACAAAATTACATGTATATTTAAATTATTATATCCTCGTTTGTCCATTTCAATGATTTTATTATTTATAATTTCAATGAAATATTTAAATGTATATGTATATTATACGTGTTCATATGTAAATGCGTGATTCTTACAACATAATCTATTCTAACCTATATGATATACTTTTTCTCATATGCATAATTTATTAGCTTATAAAATATGTTATATATGTTATTTTCATTTGTAAAAAATCTCTTGTTTTTTCTTCTAATATTTAACGATTTTATATATAAATCCTTGATGTTTGTTTATAAACCTATGATTAAACTTTATTATCAGTTGAAATTTATATCTGAATCAATATCATGAATCAATAGAATATTCTTGATTAAAGACTATCTTAATAAATCTGAATAAATTAATGACAACTTTGGTCTTACATATTTATGAAATTAAATTCAAACAAGAAAAAACAAAAAAAGTAATTCGTTTGATTCGAGTTGAAAAAAATGGCGCTAATACTTCGTTTGAATTAGCGCGCGCAAAATTTATATTATACGATGATTCGCTCTGTTGATTATTTTTTTTTCTTTTTTATCTTTTTTAGTTGGTTATACACACTTTCCTCGTACACAAAATTATATTTCGCTAACTTCGTCATCAATCCCCTGGGCATGGTACGAAAGAGAAAGAGTGGGAAAGATAAGTTTGCCTGGCTATTTGAATCATACGATGTCGGACGACGAACTTGCACTACACACTCTCTCTCTCTCTCTCTCTCTCTCTCTCCCTCTCCCTCTTTTTCTTTCTTTCTTTCTCTCTTTCTTTCTTTCTTCCTACCTACCTCCCTCATTCTCTTTCTCTCTCTGTTTTGAATACGGGCCAAATATAAATCGCCGACAAAAAGGGGATCCGACA